AATATATTCATGTAGGGAGCTTTGTAGATGAAACTTGGCTGTAAATGGAGGATTTTGTCTGCATCTGGGCTATTCCCCCTAAATTCCCCCAGTTACTGTCAGCTTTAAATAAGATATGCACACTGCGTTTGTAATCTAATCAAACCTAATTTCATTTTGGAACTATTTTCAGTGAATATGTCTGCTATACAAATAGTAAAAGCTAGATGYGTGATGAATGAAGGAAGGACAAGTGAATGCAGGAATGAATTTTCAGGAGGAAATCCATGGAACAATTTCTTACAGGTGCTATGTCACCTGCACCTGGTCTGTTTAGATGTTCCCCTTTTCCTGGGTTCCCTCTTCTCAGCTGCCTAAGCAAAATTAGGCTAAGTCCCTTTCTCTGAATTAATTTCACGTAAGTCCTTCCAGGAAGATAAGAACAAAAGAAACAATGAAAACAATAAACTGCAGAATCAAATTGGGTAGGCAAAATTTTCAAGAAAAGCACATGGTGATGATCTTTTTTCCTTCCAATACTTTATACTCAATATGCACCTGCTGCATAGTAAGTGTATAGTAGTTGCCTAAGAACTATTTGTTACATCAGTTTATAGATTTTAAAGTAACTGAAGTCTGTCATGAATGTCTTAACTCTCACTGTCAGTTGGGGTCATTAGTCAATCCCCATGAGTCAGGATTTCTTAATTTCTCATTTGTCTACCTGTGAAAACTTTTATCACTTCAAATTAAGTACTCACAGTGCTTTTGCAGTCATTCATAGATATGTACAGAGTGTTGCAAAATGGGAGTCAAATGAAGAACTTTCCTATGAAAGTCAAAAAAAAAATGTCTTCAGGTTTTACTTCTTACTATAGGATGAGCATCCTGTGTGGCCTAGGGAGTGCCACGTTTTTCATAGTTTGTGCTCTTTGTTACTGATATTGTCAATTTAAATGGCCCCAAACACATCTCTAACATGTTATCGAGTGTTCATAAACTGAAGAAGGCTGTGATGTGAATAACAGAGGAATAAAGTATTTTAGATCAGCTTTTGTTATAGTTATAATGCTGTTGTCTGAGAGTTCAATGTTAATGAACAATGCAATACCATGGAAAAAGAAAGATAAAATTGGTGATCAGTGGGTGAAGTTACTTTTTAAAGTGACAACTATAATTCTGTGATAACACTAGACAAACAACTAACTTTGGGGTTTCTTGAGATAACAACAGATTTTTTTTTTTGATATGGTAGACAACATTGTTGGAAGGTTGAAAGCCTAGAAAATTTGGGATCACATTAATCAGGGAGAGGAAATTGTTAAACGCTTCTCTGATAATGCTTTTGTTCAAAGAAATACTGCAAACAATGAATTACTTATAAATATATATTAAATAAAATTCTTAAACAAAATACACAAAAGAACAAGGTTATGTATTCATTAGTTAACAAACATATTGTGAAAAGAAACTCAAAGAAAACTACCCACCTATTTACCCGAGGAGCATGGCTCAGTGTTCACTAACAGTGTTTGCAGCAGGAGCTGTAGAGAACATAACTGCTGAGAATGCACCTTACTCACCTGGACCTACTTCAATCCTAAGGGCAGCACTTTGTTCATTCTTGATTCCCTCTTCAGTGATGCATATGGGCCATATTTCAGGTATCACTACACGGAGGTGCCTCTCCTCTCAACCTTTAATATATCTGTGAATCATCTGATGATTTTGTTGAAATGAAAACTGGAATTCAGTAAGTCTGAGACCAGGCCACAGAGTCTACATTTCTACCAACACTCCCATGTAATGAATCTGCTGCTTGACCATAAGTGACCCTGAATATGGAGGACCTTCATCCTTCCCTGATCTTTTGGTTTAGAGCACTTGGAACCATAGTTTTATGCTAATATTTTCCTAAAATCAAATAACAGAAAAGGTAAGAGGCAAAACTATGTTTCTCCTCAGAGACTCAGAAAAACAAAGCAGAACTGGAATGCATGAAATCTCCTGGCAAAGCAAGACTTTTAACAAGAAGAGCATCAACTATTTCAACTTCAACAAAGGTATAAAGAAGGCAGAGAATTAAAAATGTAAAACAAACAACAACAACAAAACCTACAAATCTTACATAATCAACACAGGTTTTATTGATAACATGTTATATTCAGGCCAAACATTTCACCAGGGATACAGATACTCAAAAAACATGTGCTTTGTTCTCAAACTTTTAAAAGAAGAAATGAACCTACACACCTGCCACAGATGCTAGGCAGTGAAGGGCACAGTTGAAATCTGGGGAAGCTCAGATGGAGGAGAGATGGCTTCCCACTGTGGATCAAGGAAGGACCCCTGGAGTATGTGACAGCTGAAATGCATCTGATGATCCATTTTATTCATCCAGGCTGACACTGCTAACATCCTGTTCCATTCATTGTTAAACCCACAGAAGCCGGGTCAGAACAACAAATCCTGCAAGATTACATTGATCATATATTGGTAAATGATCATGGAGCAGAAATGAATTGCAAAGTTTTAACAAGGAGAGTAGAAGTGATGTCATCACCCTGTGGTGTTCAGGTGTAGACTGTGTCCTCACTTCAGAGGGCCAGAACTTCAGGGAGCTTCACAGTGTATCCTAAGTGAACAAAACATAGAAGACCTTCATAAGGTGGAGGTGAGAACTGAGGAGAAAATAGAAATGTGGCCAGGAGGGGAAGGAAAAGTGAGAAAAAAAGTCAAAAAAAGAAGGGAAGACCATTGGGGAGAAAGAATGAACAGAATAGATGGATACAAAGCACTCACCAGCGTTTTATAAACCAAAATCCAAGACCTGTCAGAAGAGCCAGGGCCACTATCACGGCAAAGAGGATCAAGCCCAGGGCACTCTGAGGTGCTGCAGATTCAAGTGGACACCATGATGATGTTTCAATCTGCATCTATAGATCCCTCAATTCTTCCATTCTTTGAATTACATATTTTTCTTTTTGGGGGGTCTGGAATTTGTAAATCCCAATTTTTTACCTGGTCCTCATACTCTGCTAGAAGATATCCCCCCATCTCCAGCCTGGGTCCCACTCTTACCACCCCAGTGGAGGAGAAGGTCCTGCCCTCCTAGGCTGCTGTGCTTCACCCTGCAGGCCAGGCCAGCTGCCTCCTCAGCTGCCACATCCAGGGTTGCTTGGAGATACCACGTCCCATCTGCATTGGGAAGGATGTCACCTCTCTGGGTGCCCTCTTGCTCCTGGAGCTCACCTCGCATCCACATCACCCACACATGTTTGGGGTAGAAGCCAGAGACATGGCACACCAGCAGCAGATGGCCAGGCCCAGGACTGGGACCACTGGACAGCCAGGTCTCAGGCTTCACTGCAAACAACAGAAAGGACATCCAGACACAGACTGTAACAAAGATTCAGAAGTTTAGAACTCCCCATAAGTCTACAGAGACACATGTTTCCCACTCTGGAAAGGTCACACATTATCCTTTTCTCTTTTTATCCTGAATTTGACTTTAAAATTGAAAAATTCTTGAAGATTGGGTACAAGACTGACCTCGTCGCTGGAGATGAGCCTTCCCTGCATCTAGAAGACCCAGGGTGAAACGTGGGCAGGTGTCACTGAGGAGCCTATGTAACCTCTGTGTGTAGGCTTCGTTGAAATTGAGCAGTTTGCAGGCTTCCTGGGCCTTTTCTCCACCCTCTGGAGATGGTAAGAATGTTTCATTCTGGAAGCTCATGAAGTCCTGTCCTTGGAGAGCTACCTGCTTGAAGCCTAGGAAGCCCTTCCCAGAGTGCAGCTCACAGCCTGCTGTCACCTGCAGATCAAAGGGACCTGGGGAAGAAGAGTCATGAATCAGAGGAGAAAAGAAAGAAAATGGAGAAAATGAAATGAGTGGAGGTAGAAGGGAGTTTAGGGAGTTTAAGAGAAAGAACCCAAGTGTGATTTGATCAGAGGTTCACAGAAAGGCCACTGGGTAGGACCTGGAGGTGGAGGACAAGATGAGGATATCAGGAAGGGAGGGGATTGTTTGAAAGTGATAGTGATGGTGTGAGGGAGAAAGGCCTTAATGTGAAAGATCTGAGACCCTAACAAACCTGGGAGAATGTATCCATGGTCACTCTGACAGTTTACACAAGGATGACTGAAGAGATTAAATGGGAGACAAAATCACCCTTTAAGGAGTCACCCAACAAGTGAGGAAGCTGAAGGTACCTGATTGAAGATTGGGGAAAAGGGTGGCCACAGGCTGCCTCTGAGGTGAGTTAGCAAAACACAGCCCTGCAGCCAATAAGAGAACAGTTAATAAGTGGTAAAAACAGAAGTTTTTATGTGGTTGTTTATTGTACGTGCCCAGAGTGTGATTGCAGTTTTTATGCTGAAGAGAGTAGAATAAGTTTCAGAGCAGAGAAGGCTGTTTCCCTGAGGAATAAAAGTTCCCTGCGATGCCCCACCCTCATCCCTTTATTCTCCCCAACAATGAAAGGGAACTCACCTTTAAACATTAATTGAGAAATATAATAGTCCTGATGCTCATTGAAGTATAACTGGAACAACCTTTCCACATACATCAACTCCTTGTTACTGAAGTTGCCCCTGGACCAGGGATACAGGTAAATGATGGCATTAGAGCTGCTGTTCCATCTGTGAGTCTGCAGCTCCCCCAACCAGCCTGAGCCCACGTGTACCCAGGAATGGTTGTAAAAAGATGAGGTTTGCATGAGATGGTAGGAGATAGACTCCTCAAACCCTGTGGCAAAAGAATAGATAGAATGGGGAGAAATGTGGAGACAGAGACTTGAGAAAGTAGGTGCCCCATGGGAAGACTCAGAATCTGGAAAAGTGGAGAGCCACCATTACCTTAGCTGACATCTGCTGGCCCCCAGGGTCCCATGCTCTACCAACTGCCTCCATGAGAGCACCCAGGGCTTGAGTAAGAACATGCAGAATGGGGCCAGCTTGGCCCTCGTTCTCTCGAGGTGTGTGCAGGGGAAACTACCATCAACACACACACACACACACACACACACACACACACACACACACACACAAACTGGTCAGTTGCCCCGGTTCTTACCACTGTCACCTCCTTGGAAGAGAGCAGCAAGCAAGGGGAGTAGCAGGAACAGCATGGCCCTTGCAGATGCTACTTCTTTCTCTCAGAGAAGTCGTCCTTTGATTTCTGTTCTAAATAAACCTACCACAGGGACCTCTCTTCTGACTTCCTTATTCAACCAAAACACAAAACATTTCTGCCTGAAACAAAGACAATCTGCTCCTTCCCCAAACCCTGAGCACCTACTCTGTTTCCCATTTCCCCTGCTATTCTGACTCTCTGCCCAGTGTTCTAACTTCTCTCACTGTCACAATTTCCATCCTGGTCATCTTCCCCTAGTTCAACTGCTAAGGAACAAGTCACATGTGACTCTGAAAAGTCCCTTACCACAAGGGGTACTTCTTCTATTGCTGGGTATGGAACCCAGGATCTTAAGCATTTTGTCTTATTGTAATAACTTTGGATTATCCCCCATGTGACCTCTTCCCTGCCCCACCCCCACTCCACCTCATTCATATCTCTGACATCACCAGTTACTTTATTTCCTTTTTCAGAAGCTGCTCTGATTGTCCTCTGAAACAGTGTCATCTACTGAGTCTGTGGATTATGTATCCAGGGCTGGCTCTCTGGGGCATGCAGCCACTTGAGTAATACACTCAAAGTTCCATGATTAGCACCTTGAATTTCATAGTAATTTTATTGAATTAGTGTTTCAAAGTGAAGTTCAAGGAACCTTGCATGGGAGCTCATAGGAGCCTCCCAAGCTTATGAAGGGTTCTTCCTCCCACAACCTCACCTGCATCCTCAACACTCCTCCACCTGCTCCCCACTGTCTGGGGCCTTGGCAACTCTATACTCTGCCTCTCCACCTCCATCCTGCCACCACAGCACTGACCATGTCTCACTGAAGGCCCCTTCTTTCATTAGCCCTGTCACTATCTCATGCCTTGCAGGCACAAAGAGAGAAAGGGACATACACCCAACAGTGTGTGGGCCAAATATAGGTGCAGCTAGCTATCCCCTCCAGAGTTTGCACCAAGTAGTTTTGTAACTGGTCAGGGTGAGCCTCTTGCCCACTCTTGTTCCAAGTACCACATGCATCTTCACATAATTTGGTTCCAGTTTCTCAGTGGTTACCCTTGTGCCAAGTGTTGGAGTAACCACTGAAGAAAGGGAGATTAACTTCCCCTTCAGTTCAGCAAAGGCAAAGATCATTAGAACAACTAGGGAAGGAGGAACCAGGCAACCAGTGCGTGGCTTGCATGAAGTCATGGAGTGGGACCCCCAAGTGCCTAAGAGTTCCTGCGATCATCCTGTGAGTATCCCTGTGCCCAAGGGTTGCAACATTTGGAAACTAAATAAAAGCTCAGAGACATAATCTTCAATAGAAATGAAACAGTTTTGTACATTAGTACCATTAAGAGCACTCCCTGAAAGAGTATTTTGAACACAAACTTGTTATGATCTGAATTTGTATGTCTTCTGTAAATTCATATACTGGAACCCTAACCACCCATGTGATGATATTAGGTGGTGGGACCTTTGATGAGTGATTAGGACATGTTGTTTCAACCCTCAGAAATGAGATCAGTGCCTTATTTATACAAGGGACCCCAGAGAGATTGAATAACCCTTCCATCATGTGTAGACATTCTGGAAGTGCCTTTGATGAATCAAAATATAGGTTCAACTACAAACCAAATCTACCTTGATCTTGAACTGTCCAAAAATAATTTGAAAAATAATTTTTAAAATAATGTGAAAAATAATTTTCTAGTGGGTATAAATTGCCCAGTGTCATGAGGGGGCAAAATTGTGGTATATGCAGTTGAGGGGAGAAATAAAGTATGTCCACACGCTTCTGCCCCTTTCAATGCTTTATTCACTCAAATTACTCAGTACAATTTCACTCTATTGGTCCTTAATCTAGAAAATGACAATTCTTAATACTAGCCACTGCAATAAACATAATCAATTTACAGCAAGCAATTCTACATTAATTAATTCACAGCAAATGATTCTAGATGAATTCTAAGCGCTGCATACACACTTAATCATGTCAGGCAAATAACAGACATTCCTTCTACATGCTAAGGTCAAAAGTCTTAAGTCTTAGGCTTTATGTCCAGCAGATGCACACTCACTTAGACCATGGTGACCAAGTCCAGAACCAAGGCAGGCTTTTCCTGGTGTGGAGTGGATGACCGATTGAGGAGAGGGCCCGTAGGGAAGAGTTGTGGCTCTCACCAAGGTACAGACCAGGTGGTTGAATTTAAGAGCGGTGAGGATCACACAGAGGATTAGGACACAATGATAAGTGATGGGATGTCAGGTCCTCATCAGGACCTCCAGATCCACTGGCTGAATCTCTGTTCATTTGGTCTATTGTTTATACTAAATTTTGGGACTTTTGACCCCCCTTTTCAATCTTTATCAGCTATCACCAGGTTTCTCAGTGACATCATTTGCCCTGGGGTCAGAAACTTCTTCTGGTGGTCTCCACCCTGGTCTTCTTGTCTTTCCCTCTTATCAGTTGAGGACAGCYGGCCAGAGGCGTCACTCTGTTTATCTGGGTGAGGGGCCATACTGGAGGGCTCTGTGAGTGTGCCTGGGGAGACTGCAGGTTTCAAACTGGAGTTTTTAAAACGAAGTTGCTTAGGCTCAGGCCTCAGGTCACCCTCACACCCAGTCTATGGCATGCTGAAGTAACAGCCAGAATGGATAAGACAAAGCTCCACATTTTCATTTTTCCCTGGATCTCACAAAATATGACTTCTGCTCTTGAGTGTAGGGTGGGGAAAGCAAAGAGAAAATAATTGATTTGGGGTAGGAAAGAGAGGGAAGAAAATTAACTAAATAATGAATGAGGTTTTAGGACCAAAATGTTGTGAACCAATAATGGAAATAGAGGACATATCAGATGCAGGAGAAGGAGGAAGAGGTGTGTTTTGTGAGTGTTTTTGCTTCTGTGACCAAAGGACCTGACAAGAACAATTTGAAGGAGGAAAACTTTATTTTGATCTCACAGTTTCAGAGCTCTTAGTYCATAGATGGCCACCTTCACTACTCAGGTCCCAAGGTGAGGCAGGACATGGTGGCAGAAGAATGTGGCAGAGGAAAGCAGCTCTGGACATGGCCCCAAAAAGCAGAGAGAGAGAGAGG